CCCCAAAACCCCAAAACCCCGTAGAGTTAGTATAATAAAATGTGAGGTAAATAATTAATCTGGAGATTATTTTAATATATTAATTAAATATGTTTAAATATTTGCATAGGTCTACACTTCTATTGCAGCAACAGAGTAGTTCTTTCCTCAACTCTCCAGCTGCTTAAACCCAGTTCATGAGAATGAGTGCCTAGTATTTCTCAATTACTCCAGGAGTCTTCCATGACCCCACTCAGAATAAGTACTAGGAAAACAGAATGTTATTCTTCTCTGACCCTACTCCAGAGAAGAAGCACCAGGCAGTCAAGCCTCGTACAATCAAGGACATCAAGAAAATCTAGAGTTTCGTCAAGGAATACAGATCTGTCCCTGGAAAATCACTCAATGAGTAAGTAGATAAATTTAATATATCACATCCTTACTATTTTTCACAGATCAATTAAAAGTATGGCGAAGAGAGATGAGGGCTTTAACGAGTTCTTGAAAAACTTCAAGGCTAAAAACGAACAAGGATGGTCGAACATCATTGATTTAACTCAAGAGGAGCAAGAAGCTAGATTACTAGAGAAGTCTCCAGATTATAGAAAGAATGAGATGATTATGATGGAGGAATTCAGAAGAAGAAAGAATCTTCAAAGATATTATGAACTGATGAAAGAGAAGCATAAGTTGAGAATGAAGGCAAGAGGTAAAAAACACAAGTACTACGATATGGATGATTTGGCTGTCGAAGCTGGTACCCAATATCCCTAGGCTGGACCTGAAAGATTCTTCACACCTACCAAGGAGGAGACCTTTAATCCCAATGAATTCACTCTGATGTTTATGGACTCTGATTCAGTCACAAATGTTACAGCATTAAACAGAACAAACCACAGAAGAATTTTACTATTTATTGGTAATTCGAATGGACTTATCAGCTATGGAATGGGCAAAGGAGTCGACTATGAACTAGCTTTTGAAGATGCTTACAAGACCCTTAAGAAGAATTTAATTATCCTAGACATGTGCCAATTAAATACCTCGCCAGAGCCAATGTTTGCTAGACACAATGATTATCAGATAAGGATCTTCCCACAAGAAACACCAAACTATTGGGGTCATCCAGTTATCTGGCACATGCTCATGAACACTGGCTTCTTCCACTGTAGGTTTGCAGTTAAGAGCAGAAAGAGAGATCCATATTCTCTAGTCTACGCTTTCGTAAAGGCTGTCTCACCCAATAAGAGTCTCACCACCATTGCATAGACGAGAAGTATGAAGTCCCATCAAGTATCATTTGGAAACACTACTACCAGGAAAAGTGGGCAGCACGCATTCAAATGAATGGGAATGGAAATAAATAGAGCAATCTATGCACTAATCATACTCACTCATAGAGATAGAAATATACTTAATTCCAAATAATCATATTTAAACTTTAATATAGTTGACTAAAATTAGCATTAATTTTAACTTCTTAACAGCAATCTTAAATAACATATGAACTGATCAACAATTTATGCCATTCATCCATTTATTCAAAAATAGTAGTGCTTCCACTAGTCATCTTAGCGCATTCAATACTCTCATCAAATCTCATACTTGACTCTTGAACATGCGATGAAATTTTAAGTAGTGTCCTATAATAACTAATGTTATTTGTTTTTGTTAAGGAGTACTGAAGATTGCTAATATCCGAGGATTTCCGACTGGCATCCAATGCAGCAGAGGTACTTGATGTCCCCGTTGATTCCATGGATCTCTATATTTTCAAACTTATCAATTGTGTCTAAGTGCCAGTATGTGTTTATATTGTCGTACTCTCTCATGTGGTTTTTTATCAAGTCAACCTAAATATTCATTATCATTTTAAATTTTGATCTGCTATACATATTTCGCTACTTTCATAGCCATCCCTTGAGGAATGATGATCTTTTTACAGAATGTGCAAACGATATTTCTCTCATTGGTGCAACCGATTGTCTAATCATCATGCTCCTTCTTAGAAAGGGAGAAGTTATCATGAGTTTCAGGAATTTTATACATTTTTATTTTAAATTTATTGATTTATAATTATCGATTACTTTCAAAATGATTTCATATGCATTAAGGGGTTTTGGGGTTTTGGGGTTTTGGGGTTTTGGGGTTTTGGGG